TTTTCCCTCTCTCTCTCTTTCTTCTCCGGGAGATTGCGATTCTAGCTTCTGGAAAAGACTATAATTCTGTCTTCTGAACAACCGAGGCCAATCGTTGGGAGATTGGTTCCCCAGCTGTGAAGTTGACCCATCGATGGAGTGAAGAGTGAAGCTGTTCGCCATTTATACCGAAACTAAAACAACCAGCAATGAACTGGAAAGTTCATGTATAACTGATCTGTTTTCTGTAAACTACCTGTAGACACATGGATATGTGATAAATGCATTGTGAGCAGTTACTGAGGAATAGCTTTTCAAATTCCCGAGTTAGCGACTTACCCCGCAGAAAATTTCTATGGTTCCTTACATGAGAACCGTGCATACCTGGGAACTGGGTTTGAACTCATTAAGTCCCATGCAGGGGGGGAAATCCCTTCGAAATTTCAGCATCGGCTGGGCTTCCCTGCCTGACGTGTGTTTTTGCCTTTGTGGCAATATCCCTGCAGAGAAGATAATAGTTTCCCAGTGATTTTCGTTTCAGTGTTAGTTTTGATTTTGCGGTAAACTTTTTTTTCTACGAAATTATTACAGATTTTTAGGACGAAATGGTTAAGGATGAAATTTTAGGATAAAATTTGTATCCGTTCGTTTGTCAGTCGGGGAATTTCCGTGGTATCAGACCCATCACCGGGGCACTAGTTGGACAAGGACCGGTGCCAGCAACATACCTGTGTTTATGGGGGAGGGGGTCCTCGGGCAAATAGCCTCATTTTAGGCATAAAACCCTTGAAATGCTGCTCTATAAATAGGTTCCATACTTTGTAGTTCCACATTCTCTAAGGCTACGACAGTGAGTACAAAGTACAATATGGTGGCGCGAAAACATCGCGCAAATGTTACTTTTATATATTTTTTATCTATTTTTTTGCAAATCAACATGGATTTTGCGTGTAAAACTTCAGCCAATGCGTATTGCTCTTGCTAACATTGTGTTGATGCGTTTTTTTTTTTTTTCAATTATTTTTCTAATTTTAGCATTTTGTTAGCTAAATTTCCTCGCTTCACTTCCATCCATCTGTTGCCTTGCATGTTCGCTCATGTTTAATGCTGCTGGAGATGGTGAGGAACGATAAGATTTAAAATATGATGCACTTTTACAGCTTTCAAAATGCTCGTGTAATTGTTGGAGAGAATGTTACTTCTGTTAAAGCATTTTTCTCTTAATCGCCCCATTGTTTCATATTTATTCAGAGACACCCTAAAATCCCTTCTTCTTAGGGGTTAGAGAGGAATGCACAAGAGGGGAGGAACAAAAA